AATTACCAAAATTATTTCGAACGTAAACGGAACGTCGAAAATAAATTTCGGTAATCCCGACTGAACTTAATTAATTCCGAAAATAATAAACGATAACGTTACTATATCGGAATTAAACGTAATTTATACTGGTAATATCTCGGGATATTACATCTTACAAAATTAAGTCAATAAAATGTCAAAAAACGAAAGTGAATGTATTGTATTTGTCGGTCATAATGAATGATTGAATGTGTATATATATATATTTGTTATAGTTTTTTAATATTTATCGGTCCGGTTAAACCGGCGGTTTGCCGCAAGTAATCCGTTAACCGGACCGGTTATTCCGGATTTTTAAAAAATTAACCACCGGATTTTTTAAAGCTTTTTTAACTGACCATTTAACCGATCCGCGGTCCGGATTGACGGTTTGTTACGGTTAAAACCGGACCGTGAACAGCCCTAACGGGTCCCACTCACCCATCTCGCGATACACGTGGAGGCCTTCATTTGGAAAGGGGTGTTCTTCAATGAATTCTTGTTCGCTTTCTCATTAATTGATCTGTCCGATTCGGTTTCCGAGGTCTCATCAGTTAAATCGTCTTCACCGGGACTGAAATCTTCATCTCCAACAATTTCTTCGTCAATGTCCGGTCCTCTCATGGTAAAGCTCGTCCCGTCGCCGAAATTACTCGTCCCTTCACTAAAATTACCGGCATGCGTACTCCACGTACCCTCACAACCAAACACTCCCCCGTAACTATATGATGGCGTAGGATCCTCAACATGTGTAACCTGTGTGTTTGCTTCCAACACAATATACAAAAACACAAAGGACATAGGAGGATAGTAGTAAATCCACGAAAGAGTACTATCACTATTCTGTCTTGCGGGAATAAACGAACCATCCGGTTGTTTGATCATCAAAGTAATATCTGAAATGGTCCAACTATCACGAAATCCACAATTTTCGTAAATCATATCTACCAATTGTTCATATGATATCATTCCACTAATAACAAATGGACAATCCGGACTAGCCAAATAATTCAAAAAATTTCCTAACTCACTCTTAGGAATTTTCCAGTGCGCATTAACAATGTAGGGACCGATAGACGCCATTTATAACATGTTGCACAAAAAAATTTATATTTTATGTTGTGTACAAATTAATCTTTTTACCGAGTACCGAATCAAAAGATTCGTTCCCCGGGTCGATCTCACGAGGAAGGCTGTTTGGAATTTAGAAATGGTATCGATCACACACAAAAGAAAATAAAATCCTAAACACTCTAATCAGATAAGGGGGATGAATAATTAACAACTAAAAAATAAATAACAATGCAAAAATGTAAATCTACCTAAGAGTATGGATGAAACGAAGATGGAAAAGCTAGAGAATCGGGGATAATTAATTCAAGTTTTAGCAAAGTCGGGCATTCAATTGTTCAATTCAAAATTGACACTCTTGCTTATACATCTAGATGTTCGCTCCCAATAACTTTTCGTAACAAGGGATTAAACATAGACGTGCAAGTTCGAGCACACAACACAAGTCAATTATCTAATCCCAATAACTTTTCGTAATAAGGGATAAGGCACCGACAAGCATGTATTTCAATCCAAACCCATAGATGATTCAGTCACGAAATTATCTATCTCATGTAAGCCTAGGTCTACGACTTCTCCCCTTTCGGTTCAAAAAGTCGCTAATTTAGCTAGAAGGTATTTAATCAACTAGTCATATAGAATCAACAGAATCAAACTCAACAATTCAATATCTAATCGTTACCAATCACAAGATCGAAGTGTCACCCTTCGATTATATTGAACTATCAAGCACAATTTCATCAATTCTGAATTAAATCAACTCACACAAGTATGAACGATTCAAGCCCGAGAGATACAATTCAAACAAGAATATTCATCCCCTATCCCTAGCAATATGAATTAGCTAAGCAACATGAATTCAACACAATTCATCATATCTCTCAATTCAATCATTCACATGAATTAAAAATAAAGAGAAGACTTACAATTAATAGCAATTCCAATGTTGAATCCAATAATACAAAGTTTAATCCAATGAAAAGAAGAAGAAAATTGGAGAAGAAAGGTTAAGGGAAGAGGAAAAATGATGGAGAAGAAGAAGAAGAAGAAGAAGAGGA